CTACCTTGTGGATGTTGAGGTGTTGATTCAGGCTGTTAGGCTTTTTGCCTGTACCTGCTAAACTATCTCACCAGACCCTGTTCACTTGTTCTCTGTCATAGTAGACTATTTTTGTCTTTTATATGGGCTAGATGCATAGTAGAGATAGATATTATTTTGTCTAGCTTTTGTTTTAGGTTAGTTTTTAAATTCTTCTGCCTTTTCTCCTTATTAAAGTCAAACCAACTCTGTTTCCCTTGAATCAGATCTCTTGTTATTAATGTCATGGTTGGAACGTGGGCTGGTTTCCCTTCACTCCCAGGAATTCAGAGTGACTCGCTTTTACTCTTTCAAAAGTCTTTGCCCATGCCATCTACATCACGGGGTTTGTTGCTATCTTTTCTTAGTAGAAGGAAAGGAGCTGGGTAGTGGGTGGACATTGTATCTGACTCAACCATTGCTAAATCACCTCCTGTATGCTTGGGCAACCAGATGGAACTCTGTTTAGTTTCCTACGGTATGCCCAGTTTTTATTGTGAGCATAGTAGAGGCCATGGAAAAGTCTTGCAAGTCAGTGGGATATATTGTGCAAGTGTGATATGTCTGCATTCAGCAGATACCTCCAGAGAGGTTCCAGATTCTTGTTTGATGGATGAGGGGTTGGACAGAGATGTAGATACTAGCAGAAGCAGAGATAGTTTATTTAGACCGAGATGGCACACTTTGGAAGAAAGGGAAGAGGCTGGTGCAGAGAGTTGAATACTTCACTGGGGCTGCACAAAGGGTAACTTTTCTGGTGCACTGTCTGGTTTTCTGGAGATTTAATGCATCATATGTCTGATTGATATTTTAACTCTACCGTTAGACACTTGGCAGTGTTTCTAGTCTCCTTCAGCCAACTGGTTTCTTTTCTGTGCTCATTTTCAGCCTTTGCTTGGTCTCTCAGACCTCAGTGCTCTTCTACCTCAAGTGATGGAAGTTTTCATAACTTCCTAAATCCTAAATAGAAACCAAAGCCACACGTATCACAGTTCCTGCCCTGCTAAATTCTTATTTCTGTATTCCTGAGGCTCTTCCTGCTGTTTGGTCTTTCTTCTGGCTGTATGTAAAATCTTTATGCTTCTTTTATATGTCTGTTAAATTTTTGTTGGAAGGGCCTAGGCCCTGCTCCAAATGATATGACAGACTTTGATGATTCCCCATGGAAGGCCTCCCACTCCCTGGGGAGCAGAAAGGGGATGGGATAGGGGATCAGTGGGGGCCAGAGGAAGAGTGGAGGGAGAGGGAACTGGGATTGACATGTAAAACAAGCTTGTTTCAAATTTAAATTTAAAAAATATAGAAGTTCAAAAAAAATTAAATTTCTGTTAGACACTAGTTTTTGTTAGATTCCCACCTCCACCATACCCCACTCCCCCAGGCAGGGTTTCACTGTGTTGTGTAGCCCTGGCTGTCCTGGAGCACACTCTATAGACCAGGCTAACCTTGAACTCAGAGATCCACCTGCATCTCCCTCCCAAATACTGTGATTAAAGGCATGCACTACCACTACCAAACTAGATTCTTTTTAAAAGTAGAACTTTTTAGTCTACTGGCTATAGGAAATGATAATGTTGGTGGTGGTATGTGTAGTAGACAGAGTCTTGTTACATAGCTTTGGCTGTTCTGGAACTCACTATATAAGCCAGGCTACCCTCAAACTCACAAAGACCTGCGTGCCTCTGCCTCCAAAATCCTGAGATTGAAAACATGCACCAACATACCTGGCATTGTATAGCTTTTTTAAAAAACATAATAAATTATAGTAAGTGTTGGGGATCAACCAAAGGTCTTTGAGTATGCTGGACATTTGCTGTATGAATGAGATACATCCCTAGCTAGAATAGTTCTTAGTCTAGAACTAACTTAGTCTCCTTCCTAAAGCAGGCCTTTTGAGTTATCTTCTAAACTTCAAGAAATTCAGGGAATATTTTTTTTGGTTTTTGGCTTTTTTTTTTTTTTTTTTTTTTTTTTTTTTTTTTTTTTTTTTTTTTTTTCCTGTCTGGAGGAAAGTTGAATTGTTCTAAACCTAACTCTGAGAGTTGTTCATTTACAGCTCCCCTAAGTGAGAGTTCTTTCCTTGGATTGCTGTTCAGTCAGAATTCAAGGTGACCTGGTGGGAATTTCTGGAGCCTGCTTGTTTTTAGCACCCTCTGAGTGCTTGGCCTCACAAATCCAGCTACTTGGGTTCACGTGGCCTCCCTGAGCCTTGCTTTAGAAGGTATCCAGGCAGAGCCAAGGAGCTGTAGTGCTCATTTTACTTTTTCCCTTTTCTTAGGGAATCACAGAGCCTAGCTAACTGTTGTCCCAGGACTGGAAAAAAGTTGTTTCTTATTTTATGTCAAGTTTTCTATTATTTATAACAAGAGGTTGATTACAGACCACTTGAGGACATCCAGCTTGGATGGCCTATACTTGTATTTAGAGAAAATAATTAAAAATTAAGCTGGCCAGTGGTGATGCACGCCTTTAATCCCAGCACTCAGGAGGCAAAGGCAGGAGGATCTCTGAGTTAGAGGCCAGTCTGGTCTATAGAATGAGTTCTAGGACAGGCTCCAAAGAGAAATCCTGTTTCAAAAAAAAAAAAAAAAAAAAAAAGAAAGAAAAATAATTTAAATGTTCTTGATTTGAAAGGAAATTAGCAAAAATTAAAAAAAGAAAATGAGAAAAATTGCCAGTAGAATTCCATATTATAGAAAAATTACAAGCTCTTGGTAGTAAATATTGGCAAATAGTTTTTAGATCTTTTTCCCACTTTATAGAGACAGGATCTCACATGGATTCCTGTCTGGCCTTGAACTTGTTGTGTAGACCAGACTGGCCTTAGTTAAATTTGCAGTAATCCCCCTGCCTCTGTTTATTGAGTGCATGCATTACCACAGTCTAAAGTTTTGAATCTGTGGGCAGAAAAAATTGTTTGGACAGGAAAGTGTTCTCTATGAAGAAGAGTGATAAACTATATTCTTAAAATTCAGAGCCTTTTGCTGTTCTTGGTGGAATTGTTAGTGAGGAAGAAAGGGTTGTAGTCTGAGCCAGGTGTAGTGGCCCAGCCCTAGAGAGATGGAAACAGTAGGATCAGGAGTTGAGGGCCAACTTCGGCTACATAGTGCTGGGCCTATGAGCCTATCACAAAACAACCCCTCACAAAGAAACCAAAACCAAATAAATAAATGAATCAAAGTAAGAGCTTTTATTATACAAAAGACCCTTAAATAAAGTAAAAGTAACAGTAAAAATGGGAGAAAATACTCTGCACAAGTGAAAATATTGTCAAGCACAAAGAACAATAGCAAAAAGCTGTAATCACATTGCATTTGGGAGGCAGAGACTAGAGAATCTCAAATTTGAGTGAGCCTGTGCTACATACACATCAAGACCTTGTCTCAAAAATAACCAAACAAAAATCCCAGTGGAAAAAACCATACAGAGCTTGGAGTGGTGGCTTGTTCCTTTGGCCCCAGCAGGAAAATCACTTGAGCTCAGGAGTTTGGGGACAACTGAGCAACATCGTGAAGTAAACAAACATCTTTTTAAAAAACCAAAAAACCCAAAGACTACAGGAGTTGTACAAATTCATGAGAAATGCACACAAATTTAAGGTAACAATAGGTGAACCACAAGAATTGGTATTTTATGAAAAAGGATACTTGGACAATATAGGAAGAAATGTTTGTTATAGAGAAGTTTTGAATGTTGAAAGACACTTTGGGTATATTAGAGTGGAACTAATAAAGACTATAGAACTTTCTTTCTTTATTTCTTTCTTTCTTTCTTTATTTATTTATTTTTATTCCTGTGACAGGGTTCTCTGTGTAGCCCTGGCTGTCTAAAATTCACCCTGTAAACTTGTCTGCCTCTGACTTCTGAGTGCTCAGATTAAAGGTGTGCACAATCACCTGTGGACTTTTTAAATGTTGGAATGTTCGTGATGCTGATACTAGTATGAGGTCTTGGGAACAATCAAGAAAGGTCTTAATAAGTAATATATTTGTGTGTCATGTTGACAAAGGGTCAACTGTCCTAGCTAGTAACTTGGAAAAATAAATTAAAATCATTCTGAAGTTTTTTCATATTCATTCCATTGGCAAAAATACATTTCTTTTCACATATCTCAGGCTGGCCTTGAATTTGCTATATAGCTGGAGGTGACCCTGAACTTTGCTAGGAATTCGGAGTTTCTTCATGTTGGGCAAGCACTCCCCCTTCCCAGCCCCTAAAAGGATTTTTTTTCTTAGATGCTAAGGAAAGGATTGTAAGTTGTTAAGCATCCTAACAGCTTAGTTGAAAACTATCCTGAGGTAAAATACACATATCTTTGAAGGCTTGGTTCAGTTCCCATATCTATGTGTACAGCAGGAGACATGTATACAAACATTTATAGCAGTATTGTTCACATTGCTAGGTTAACTACTCAGAAACAATCCAAATTCTACCAGTGAGAGAAGAAATAAAACAGAAACAGCCATAGGGTTGATGAGATGGCTCAGCAGGGAAAGGCCACTTAGCCTGAAAACCTGACTTTGCCTGGGACCCATGTGGTGGAGAGAACTGAACCCCCCTCCCCCGTGAGTTGTCCTCTGACCTCCTTTGACATTGACTGTAGAACTAGCTAGTCTGAGCTATACACAGTAGTCGTGCTGTCTTATAATAAACTCTAGGTTTCTATTTCCCTCCTTATTAGCTTGTTTGGTCACTCTTATATTTGTAGTGGCTTTTGAGAGACTTCTGGCTTTCTGAAAATAAATTCACTCTTAAAAACTGACATTTGCCTTTGAAGTTACTTAGATGTTGGAGAAATTGGTAAAAATAAGATTATACCTCTCTCGAAAGGAGTAGCCTTCTTGTGTGTAGAACTTTTTCCATGTCTATAAAGTTTCCTTTTAAAATGGCTGTGAATGTTTTGTAGTGTCATGCATAGAAAGACACCAGGGCAGCATGAGCTGACTTTAGATGACTGTGGCTTCTTCATTCTGTCTCACCAGGTATACAACGTTTACATGGCAGGGCGGCAGCTGTGTTCTAAGCGGTACCGGGAATTTGCCATCTTGCACCAAAACCTGAAAAGAGAGTTTGCCAACTTTACATTTCCTCGACTTCCAGGAAAGTGGCCATTCTCATTATCAGAACAACAGCTAGATGCCCGGCGTCGGGGACTGGAAGAATATCTAGAAAAGGGTAAGCCAGGCTTGATTTCTTAGTAGGAAGGCACTTGCCACCAAATCTAATGACCTGAGTTCAGTCCCCAAGACCCCCATGGTAAGAGAACCAACTCACACAGGTTGTTCTCTGACTACCACTCATTTGCAATGGTAGGTGTGTGTTCTACCCAAGTGGACAAATAGATAAATGGAAGTTTAAAAATGTTTAAAAGGGGAAGGGGCAGCACATACCTTTAATCCTAGCACTCAGGAGGTAGAGGGAGGTGGATCTCTGTGCGTTCAAGACTAGCCTGCCTGCTCTACAGAGGGAATTCTAGGATAGCTAGGGATACATAGTGAAACCCCGTCTCAAAAATCAAGGGGAAAAAAAGTTTAAAAGGTAGGCTAGTCCATTAAACTATGCTGAGTGGACATAGCTTCTGGTTCTTTAATTGCATGGCTGTGTTTCCTAAAACTCAGTAGTGTAAGGAAGTCATGTTTCAGATCAGAAGTATTAAGCGACATGGGCCCCAAATCCAAGGCTGAAATGTTCATCATAGTGATAGTACCCTGCTTTGCTAGCTTTCAGAGAACTTTGTAAAAAAAAGAATAGTTTTTGGTGGTCCTTGGGGGACTTTTAGTTATAGGGTTATATTTACTTGTAAATACATATTATGGCACATTAGTGATTCTTGGCTCATGACAGTGTCTTATATAAAAATTCCTGTATAGATTTGTTCAGCTGTTGGCCATCTAAAGTCTCCTTGTTCTCAGCAGCCTATAGGTAGAATTAATGAAACTTCCAAATGATAACTTGGGATTCTATGGATGTGGATACTGGAATATTTGTTTCTTTAAAAAGACAAAGAAATGACACAGATCTGAGTAAGACAATCTCTTGGTTGTGGGAAGAGACTAACCTGGCTGTTAATATCATAACCGTATGGCCTGCTGCTAGCTGTGTGTCTCAGTCACTGTTCTATTGCTGTGAGGAGACATCAAGACCAAGGCAGCTTATAGAGAAAGCATTGAATATGGGGCTTGTTTACAGTCCCCAGCAAATAGTTCCAACCACTAGGAATGAAGCATTCAAACAAATGAGCCTGTGGGGGCTATTATTCACATCATCACACTCTGCAATAGATTTTTTAGAATATTAGTTTAAAAGAATAATAGTGTAAAGACTAATTGACCTAATTTGATTTAAAATTAAGACAAAACATAACGAAACACCCCAATAAAACTAACTTTGGCAGTGAACCTTATTCCTGAAGAACTATTTCTCACATTGAAATTTGTGGGGTTTCCCCATCTGTTTTTCCTAAAGTAATCTGGTCTCTGAACATGCCATGGGGACATTTACTTTAAAAAAATAAAAAAACTGTCAATACTATTTATCATGGGGGGGGGGGACACTACCTTTTTAGATTAGACAACTAGTTACTTAGTTACCTGCTTCCTTTCTTCTCAATTTCTTCCCCTGTGTCTTGCTTTGTGTACCTCTGTCTTTCTGTCTGTCTTTCTTAGATCACTTGGTAGGTGAAATTAGATGCTATGTTGAGCTTAAGTCCTTGTTCCAAAGTGATGTTCGATGTTGTTCTCTGACTTGCTGTTCCTAGGACAAATACATGTTTTCCCTTTGTGTTTTAATTCCATATTTGGTTTATTCTTAGCTGACCTTTCTCTTCCTTCTATTGCTTATTTTTTCCTATGTTCTGACATGATGATTGATCCCACAGCACTGAAAATTTAAATGTACTATACTTTTTTGTATTTAACATTTTTAGCAAACTACATCTTTATATTTCCTTTTATTATACTGTTCTATTTCATTTAGGTGAATTGATTTTTATGCCTTAAGATTACATATGCTAAGGATATATATATATATACTAGGTTATAGTTGCTTGTTACTGATGATGTAAACATTTTCTGTATACTTTTTGATACAAGGTCTTGCTGTATAGCTCAGGTTGGTCTAGAAATGACTTTGGCTCAGGTTAACCTTGAATTTGCAGCAAACCTTTTGCTCTAGCCTTTCAAGTACTGGAATTGCAGATATGTATGACCATGCTCAGCCCTGACAATTTTCATGTAAACTTTAATATACTATTGATGTAGGGCCTGATGCTAGATACTGTCTTTGTTTTCTGCAGTGTGTTCCATCCGAGTCATTGGTGAGAGCGACATCATGCAGGAGTTCCTGTCAGAATCTGATGAGGTAGGTGAACACTCCCTGCAATGATAATTTCCTGCTTAGCTCCTCATGGGCAAAAATGTAGGTAATGTTTGTGGGTTAAGTTGTAGTCTACTCTACAAACGACTGTATTACTTCCATTTCCTTTTCATATATATCTACCCTTTAAGACCTAGAGCCAGGTTCAACTTCTCTGTCTTTTTGTTTTGTTTCTTTTTTAGTTATGCTATAAAATAATACATTGCACCATATTTTCAATTACACACATCATGTATATGTGCAGGTGCACATGCACACGCCCTTGTATTTTGTCCATATTCGCCCCTCATTATGTACCCTTGCTCCTTCCCTCTGGTCTCCTCCTGGTCTCCACAGAGTCCCCTCCTACTTTTGTTTTTTCATTGTTATTTATGCATTTGAGTCTGGGGTATGCATGTGAGAGGAAAATGTGACGCAGTCTTTGTTTCCTGCTGCATCATTCCCTTTTGTTCCCTCCTTCCTGTTTCTGTTAGACTCCCTCTATGTGGTTCCCTCTCCACTTCACGTCCTGTACACATATTAAGATTCATGAGGAAGCGTGCAGTCCATGTCTTCCTTCTGACATAAGTCTGGTGATTTTGGTCTCCAGCTCCACCCGTTTTCCTTGTGAGTCTTCTGTTTTCCTCTGAGCTCGAGCTAGAAGATACTTGCTCCTTCTCCGTACAGTCCCTCTGCATGTCTACCTGTCTATCCCTCTTTTGTTTGCTATTTTTAAGGTAATTTTTTATCTGGTGACAAACAGCAGCCATGGTGGTTATTTTGGACCTGTATGTTGGTAAACTGTATTTCTTCTTGTGATACAAGTTTCTCTCTATATTTCTGAGGTAATATTTTGATTATTTCTTCATTGTCTGCTGGACTCTGATGCATCAATAAATATAATAGTTTACTTCTTTTAGAATGCTGTGAAATTGTGTAGAAGGAACATAGCTTCTGAGGCACTGGGTTTAGGGTCTCTTTTATGTTGGGGAGCTTTCTTAATGGTGTATGTGGCAGGATTAATTGAAAATTCACTGTCATAATTCTGCTGCTATGAAAAAATGGTTAAATCCTCTCCTCTTCCCCCTTCCCTTCCCTTCTCCTCTTCCTTCTCTTCTCCCCTCCCTTCCCCCTCCCCCATCACTCCTCTCTGCTTCTCTGTCTCTGAATAAAAACATGGCTCATCTTTCATGTTTCTGGTAACCATTTTTCTGCATTCATAGCTAAGCTTCTTAGAAAGCTGCTCCATTATACTGCCATTTCCCTACTTAAAAAATTGAAACTTTCCCTCAGTTTTCAGGATTCAGCTTGAACTCCTACATGGCACTCACAAGGCCCATCATGGTCTGGCCTCTATCTCTAATCTTAGTCCCTGCCGTTGTCTGATATATCATTATTCCAGGTACTTTGGTACTTTCTTTTCTCCTTTATGGTGCTATGACTTAAACCTCAAAACTTATGCCTGCTCAGCAAATGCTCTGCCACCAGACACATCTCCAAAACCACGAAATATGCTTTTAATGTTGATTGATTTATTGTGTTTGTATGCCTGTACACCGTGCAGCACACCACAACATGGTACACAGCTTAGGGAACAATTGGTTCTTTCTTTCCATCATGTGGGTTTTGGGGATCAAACTCATCAAGGTCATCGGGTTTAATGGCAAATGCCTTTATCAGCTGAACAAACCTACCGGCCCTCTCATTGGCTCTGGAGTGCTTTTTATTTCTTTAATCCATATGTCAGTTCTTAGAGTTTATGTTCTCTTCCAGGGAATCTCCCCCTCTTTTTGCCTCCATAACCGTTTTTTTTTTTTTTTTTTTTTTTTGTACTGCTAATCCTTTAGAACAGGTCAAAGGTCACTCCTCTCTGATCACCCTTCTGGTTCTCTGTACTTTTCAGCTGTCTTTATCGAAGCCCCTTGTATTATCCCATGCTCTACTCTTTTTGTCTTTGGAATGGAATCCGTTCTTTGTTACTTTGACTTTCCTTGTTCACTGTGCTATGCAGAGGCAGCTTCTAGTCTGCCATTTTTCAGGTCCACCTTCTCTTTGAAGTCTTTCTTCTTGGAGGACTCAAAGCATCAGTTTTCATCCTACCAAGAGCTTCTGTAGTTAGTACCACCCAATCATCATGTTATTGCCATCACATTTTCTAATTTTTATACATGTAATCAGTTTGTTACTTTATATTTTTAGCTTACAAGAGTGTGTGAGCTACCAGTAGGTAAGAGCTAACTCTTGATTATCTTTATATTCCCAGTGCCTTACGACAATGTCTCGCATGTTGGAGGTGTTTAATAAGTATTGGATAGAAGGGTGAATATGTAATACAAATGTATAGTCTATAAATTATTTAATATGTATGTATCTTGTTTTCCTGACTAGATTATAGGCTTCTTGTAGATAAGGATATAAAATATAATAGTGCTCTCCCCTTACCCGTGGTTTTACCTTGTTGTCTGTGGTCAGCCATGATCTAAAAATATAAAATACAATATTTCAGAAGTAAACACTTTGTAAGCTTAAAATTGTGTGGCATTCTGAGTACCATGATAAAGCTTTATGTCATTCTATGTTGTCCCCTATGTGGTAGTCACCTCATAATTGGGTCAGTTATCAGAGTGCCTGCTCTAGTATCACAGTGCTTGCTGTATTTAAATAACCCTTAATGATGCCTTCAGTTCATGAGAGTACATTATTAGCAATCACATACACCCAAGGGGAGCCATGGAGTACTTCCCTTACAACAGTAAGAAAAAGAATCCTGGTAAGATTGCCAAGGCCTATATTAGGAACACCTCTTTGCCCTTCTATCTATGAAATTATGAACAAGAGAAAGTAAATGTATGCTGGTTTTGTTGAAGCACCTTAAACTACAAAAGTTGCAGCCGCAGTGCATGATAATTGCTTAGTGCAGATGGGAATAGCATCCATTGTGGGTTTCAGTACCAACTATGTATGGTTCCTGGCATTCATTGTAGTTCTTGGAACATAACCCCTGTGGGTAAAGGGGGGAAGCTATTGTAATGTTTAGGGTACTTTTAGACAAAGAATAGTAATTTTTTATGGTCAATGCAAAGGAACTTATTTCTAGATGATTATTTCTCAGTAATAAAAATTATGAGGTCAGGCTAGAGAAAAGGCTCGGTGGTTGAAACCACCGACTGCTCCTCCAGAGGACCCAGGTTCAACTCCCAGCACCCATATGGCAGCTCACAACAGTCTGTAACTCCAGTTCCAGGGGACTGGACACCATGGCAAAACACCAATAGTAGTAAAATAAATACATAAAAAGAAAAAAGAAGAGAAAAAATTACAAGGTCAAAAATCTGTTAGAAGCTGAGTGTGATGGTTCATGCCTATAATCCCAATATTCTAGAGATCAAGGCAGGAACATGGCTCTGAGTTCATGGTGAGCCTGGGCTACAAGACAAAACTGTCTCAAAAAACAAACAAAAAGACAAACTGTATTAGAAAAGTATGTTGAGGCTACAGAAATAGCAGTTAGGAGCCGTTGTTGCTCTTGCAGAGGACTTGGGTTAAGTTTCCAGCAACTGAATGGTGGCTCCCATCTAATCTGTCCTCTAGTTCCAAGGAATCTAAAGATCTTCCTAACCTCTGTGCTCACTGGACATGAACATGGTATACATACATACATGTAGACAACACCATACACATAAAATTGATGTAAAAAACTAAAAAAAGAAAATGTGTTATTACCAAAAGCCATGAGGGCTGGTTATTTATTTACTCATTTACTTATTTCTTTATCTGTCTGTTTATTTATTTATTTATTTTTGTGCTAGATCCCTAAGCATTCTGGGTAAGCATTCTCATACTGAGCTATATCCCCAATTCTGTTTTTAATTAAATAGAATAAGAATTGTGTAGTCTTTGCTAGAATATTGGGCATGATGTGGATTTACATCCCTAAGTCTCACCCATTTTTCCTATTGAAGATGGTCTGATCATGCCAAGGTTTTGAAAGGACATCAGCATATCCCTTAAGCAGACCTAACTGTTTAATTATTCAAACAGTGTTGAGACTGCTCCTGTTGGTTTTTTCTCTCCTTTGTGTGTTCTGTGGAGTGACAAGAATGAGCCAAAATCTCATCTAGACTTTTTCAACAGTACTCTATTTTGAAATGGGAGCATGATTTTAACTTCTACACTCTAAAGTCAGCTTTATGAGTGTAAATACATTAACTTGTAAAACTTAATTTTCCTCATTTTAATAAAATTTACTTCCTGTTTCTTACATTAGACATTGTTTTGCTAGCATGTAGCAAGGGAAGTGAAAATTTACTGGATTGCAAATTCTTTCTTTTCCTTTAGAATTACAATGGTGTGTCTGATGTAGAACTGAGAGTAGCATTACCGGATGGAACAGCAGTTACCGTCAGAGTTAAAAAGAACAGTACTACAGACCAAGTATACCAGGTAAATTAAACTTGAGCAAGTCAACTTGACATTGGATGATGTGAAACTAAGTAAAAAATTAAATGAGTTAATACTTACAAAATGTGCAGAGTGAGTTCCAGGACAGCCAAAGCTGCACAAAGAAACCCTGTCTCCAAAGACCAAAAAAAAAAAAAAAAAAAAAAAAACCATTTGGTATGTTCAGGTTTGTGAGCAGGTTGCATGTATGCATGTGTGGGTGTACATACTTGTACTTGGGAAGATCAGAGGTTGATATTGATGTCTTCCTAAAATTGGGTGTTGTCCTCTATCACTCTGTTTTATTCCTTTGAGACAGAATCTCTAGACTGGTGACCAGCAAGCTCTAGCAATCATCCTGGCTTCACCTCAACAGTGCTGGGGTTACAATGTTGAGTGTATAGGTCTGTGCTCACCTTTTTATGTGAGTGCTAGGGATTCAAACTCAGATTCTCATACTTGTCCAGCAAGTGCTTTTATCCACTAAGCCACCTATCTCCATAGTCCCTTGTGTGTGTGTGTTTTATGCTCATGCATGTGCTTGTGGAGGTGCACATGTGTGTTCTGATGAACTTGGACCATGTATATATGCATGTTTCCTTGTAGGTCATTTTTTAATCTCCTTTAAGCTCCCTGTATATTCTATAAATAGAAATTTACTCTAGGATCTGGAGAGATGGGTCAATGGTTAAGAATGGCTGCTCTTCCAGGGAACCTGGTGTTCAATTCCCAGCACCCACATTACAGCTCACAACTGCCTATGACTCCAGTTCCAAGAGATCTGATACCTGTTACACAGATGCATGTGGGCCAGACACCAATGTGCATAAAATAAAAATAAAATAAATTAAAAAAAATTTACTCTAGAGGCTTGATTATATTCAAGTTCTATTTTTTAATACAAAATACAAATACTCTAAGTTAGGCTATAATAATATAATTTATTGCTTCTCAGTAGGCACTCCTCAGTGTCTATTTGTCCATTTTAGTGGTAACATGATTAATTGGTAGTCTTTTCAATTCAGAGTTCCTACCAATCTTTTACCAGATACGTCTGTCCATTGGTGATTGTTGCCTTATCAGTAACTCCATAAAGGTTGCAAAATGCTGGTTTTCAATTCTCCTATTTTTTTCACATAGCCAGAATTCTTCTGTAAGTAACTCTTCCTTATCAGTTAAGGTTATTGATATAGCCTGAAAAGCAGTTTGTGGGGAAAGTTTAAAATTTTAATTCTTTCCTTTATTGGCAATTTTCAGAGTAAAGAATTGATGCCTTAGTAGATTCCATTGTTGTTCAGTGCACTAATTGTTTTTCTTTGATTGTTTGGTTTTTTAAATTTTTTAATTTCATTTATTTATTTAGTTAGTTATTTTTGGTTTTTCAAGACAGGGTTTCTCTGTATTGCTTTGGAGCCTGTCCTGGAACTAGCTCTGTAGACCAGGCTGGCCTCTGAACTCACAGAGATCCTCCTGCCTCTGCCTCCCCAGTGCTTGGATTAAAGGCTTGTGCCGCCAATGCCTGGCCAGTGCACTAATTGTTAATACTGTGTTTTTAGTTATAGGTAAATTTCTAATTAAAAGTGATTTAATAAATAGCATGTTGAGGCAGGAGATATGACTTAGAGTTTAAGAACACTAGCTGGTCTTCCAGAGGTCCTGAGTTCAATTCTCAACAACAACACGATGGCTCACACCATCTATAATGAGATCTGGTGCCCTCTTCTGGCCTACAGGGATATATTCAGACAGATTACAGCATATATAATAAATAAATATATAAATAAATAAATTCTTAAAAATAGATGAATAGTCTGGGTGTCAGTTGTTAGCACTGACTACAGGTCCATTTATTTGCCTTTAATCTTAACTTGATCAAGATCTTCAAGGAGACAGATTTCTGGTTACCAAAGCTTATAAAAGCACTCCTTTATAGAAAACAAAAACAAAACAAAAAAAAAAACAAACAAAAAAAATCTTTCCTTCATTTAATTGTCTGCAATATATCATGGCAATTGATATGTAGGTAGGATTCCAGCCATCTTTGAAATTTTATGGTACTGGAGTAATTGCAAAAAGTTTTTTACTTTTTTAGTTTGTTTTTCAAGACAGGGTTTCTCTGTGTAACCGCTCTGGCTGTCCTCTGGCTGTAGACCAGGCTGGCCTCAAACAGAGATATACCTGCCCCTCTCTCCCAAGTGCTGAGGTGAAAGGCGTGTGCCACCATGCCCAGCAAGTTTTCAGTTGTTTTGTTCTCTACTTTTTTCAGTGGTTCTTTAGAAAAAACCTAGGGTATTTTGTTGTTTATTTTATGTTTGTATATCTGTGAATATGTGTGTAAACATTGTGCGCAGTTCTCTGGAAAGACTAGCAGAAGACATTGGGTACCCTGAAACTGGAGTTCCAGCCTGGGTGCTGGGAACTAAACTCATGTCCTCTGTAAGCACAGCAATGCTATTAACTGGACCATCTCTCTAGCACAAACCTAGGGTGTTTTTTAATTACTGAATGTTGTAGCTAGGAGCCATTTTGTAAACCCTGAGAGTATTCTGGTTTTGATCCAGTGCAATACAGAGGGTGATTTAGAATACTTGTAATTTCCGGTTCCTACACAACTTCAGATAAACCTAGGAAGAAGGGATATAATCATAATTGATTCAGTCTTGAACACTTTTTAGCTGTTTTTGAATTGTTTAGTAAATAACTTGCTTATGTTGGGAGTGCTCTTTCTCATCTGTCATGTTAGGTCCATAGTTTTCAGAGAGGACTTCTTTCTGTTTAATATGCTGCTTGTCAATGTTTTGTTACTTTTGTGAAGATATGGGTGACTGTTATTAAGGAAGGACAGTGTCTGATATCCCCAGTTTAGAGCATAGACCATCTGAAAAATAAATGTAAGCTGAATTGTGAAACTAAGTATCAGAGGCTCTGTTTTAGGTACGGTGAGATGACTCAGTGGATAAAGTCTTTTACCTCTAAGCCTGGCAACCTGAGTCTAACCCTTAGAGGAGAGCTGACTCTTGCATGTTGTTCTCTGAGCTCACCCCCCACCCATATACACTGACTATATATACACATACATAGACAAACTTTATTAAGTATTTTTTAAAACTATTTTCACTTTATGATCTGTCCTGTCAAATACATTTCTTTAAGTGATATAAAACACCTTGGTGGGGACTCAAGTGATCCATTGTCTTTTTCTGGTTTCTGCAGGCACCCAAATATAAATGGCATTCATTCACATACAGGCACACACACACACATTAGTAAAGATAATTAAAAAAGAACCTTTGTGGTTCTTTGAAAAAGCAACTTTTGACACCAAGGAAGAACTATCAGATTACATGGGAAGGGAGGTGCTCCCAGAGAACAGCTATATTTGGGTTTATGTGTATGTGTGCACTTGTGTAACTTATGGATAGCTGTGGGCCATGGTGAATTTTATGATCCAGGATGCAGAATGTCTCCCTTTCCCCCCTCTCAAACATACACCTGCCCCCATAGCATTGTCTGAATTTACTTTTCCTGAAACAATTCTATCCTTTTAAACTTCAGGCTATTGCAGCAAAGGTTGGCATGGACAGTACAACAGTGAATTACTTTGCCTTATTTGAAGTTATCAATCATTCCTTTGGTAAGTGCTAGTGGCTGTTACTGTATTTTGTTTGGGGGGTGTTCATTCTAATACTGTAATACAGAAACTGCTTTGCCAAAGAAGGATGATAGGAGAATCCACTCACTAGTAGTGCCTTCAGCAAGCAGACTTGGCAGATCTTGTAAAGGATTTCTGATCGCTATCCATCTGTCTTCTTCTTTTTTTCTTTTTTGTTAGTATATAGCAAGTTTGATTCCTCGAGAGCATCCATCTTTCTATTATTTTTCTTCCCAACTTTCAGTAGCCTAATACACAGATATAAATTGTGTTATAAAGAATTGGTAAGATCAGTTGCTTGAATTCTAATCTTATCCTTTCTAAGCTTATCTTTCTATAAAGGAGAAATATGGAGTCTGTGTTGGAAAGCCAAGTGAGCCCCAAGAAGGGACTCAGGAAGCCAGTATAGGGACTAGAAGTAAAATGTGTTGGCACACAGCTGTGATCCCAGCCCAGTGGAGCAGGTTGTCGGAAGCTACTCGGAAGAGGCCTGGACTATGGCAAATGCCTTAGGGTTTGGGGAATGGATGAGAAAGAAGTACCTTTCAGTTCTGCATAAATAAATGTAGTACATTGTAGGTGGCCATTGGAGAGACCCTAGATGTGCCATAGCTGGGTAAAGAGGAGAGACTGCTCTGAAGGCATTTGGTGGACTTAGCTTGCCTACTTTGATGTTTGTACCTTAGCACATCATAGATCAAGCATTTTTGGAGTGGGCACTCTCTGTTGTCTTGTTAGCTAAAAGAGCTGTCATTCAAGCAATAGATTTCAGTCATTCGCTTTACTGGCCAGAGTCTTAGTTGGAAAGGATAGATTCGGCTGATATGCACTTGTCATGTGTTTCTAAGGTAGAGGTTCTGATGAATTTGGGCTGATGCTGTAATTAATGACAACTAGTGTATTGGTCTGCCTTGTACAGTTCCTACTTGGGAAACTCCTGTATACGTCTCCACTTCATCTTTCTTTATTTTGTCTCCTTCAGTACGTAAGCTGGCACCTAATGAATTTCCTCATAAACTCTACGTCCAGAATTATACATCAGCTGTGCCAGGCACCTGCCTGACCGTTCGCAAGTGGCTCTTTACAACGGAAGAAGAAATCCTCTTAAATGACAATGACCTTGCTGTTACTTACTTCTTTCATCAGGTAGGTAAATAAATCTTCCTCCTAAGAGCCAGTTTTTTTTTTTTTTCTTTTTTTCTTTTTTCTTTTTTTCTGTTTGTAGATAGCTGGTAATTTGACAATTCAGTGTATTCCATTTTGTAAGAGATAAATGCTAGAGTTATACCAGAGTTTTTTTAAAAGTTCAATTTTTTTTTTAAATCAACAAAATGAGTCTTATGATTTTTGCATGTTCATGGTTTTTAAAGCGGTATTATATATACTGTGTGTCTTGGGAAAGCAAAATATATTTTTTTACTTTGTTCTCATATCATAGTCACCACAAAAGACTTCTGTGATGTCATAGGGCATAGGGATTTCTCTGCACCAGCAAGTGTGTGATGCTTGAGTGGCTACCACCCCAGGCTTCATTAAATGTAATTCAGTTCTGACATTATCTACCTGGAAATATCAAGCCTCACAGATCAAGGTCTAAATTCCTCAAAGTGCCTCCATTTTAGAGCTGATTACAAGTCCTCTGAAACTCTAAACAGCTGGCTGCAATTGAAGTTCCCATGACACCCTCCCCCCACCATACACTGCTTCTGCTCTGAGTAATTTGCTTAATCTTCTCACAGAGCTCAGGAAACTTGATATTTACCACTTTATTACAGAGGATATTTTAAAGAACATGAATAAACAGAAATACAGTAATGTATAGTGTGCTTTAAAAGATCTAGAGCATAGGAGCATCCATATTGGGAGGGCTGGGGATATACTTCCTTCCTGGCAGGTGGAAGAATTCTCATGTTCACTGTCCTGCAAATTGGTCATGTTAAGTAGTCCAAGAGCTCCATCTTTTGAGTTCGGATGTGAGTGTGTGTAGAGACTTAATACATGAGCATGACTGAAATATAAGCAACCATATTAAAATGTGATTGGCCTCTCTGTACACCATTCCTTTTTCATAGGGGCTAGGATCCCCTTCATAAATTGGGATCTTGTCATGAGAGGGTTTTGTTTCATTTGGATATGTGTTCATGTGTAGAGAGTGGTAGTGTGGGTAAACTTGAGCCTGAGCCTGTGTGTGTGTGGAAGCCAGAAGTCAACTTTGGGTAGTGTTCATAAGAAATTACCCACTTCAATTTTGAGATAGGGTCTCTCACTTGGCTTGGAACATACCGTTTAGGCTTAGACTACCTGACCAGCAAGCCCCAGGATCCCACTGTCCCTGCCTCCCCAGCATTGGGATTACAAGCATGTGCTACCACATTTGTCTTCTTTTTTAAATAGTGTTTATGAGTGGCCTGTCTGCCTGTATGTATGTATACCATATGCATGCCTGGTGCCCAGGGAAGCAAAAAGAGGATCAAGTTCTCTGGACGTTACAGATAGTTATAAGTTACCATGTGGGTGCTGTGAACCAAATCTGGCCCCTTTGTGAAAGCAACAAATGCTTTTACAATGAGCCATCTCTCCAGCCCTATACGAAGCTATCTGTATGGGTGCTGGGGATTGAACTGAGATGCTGTGCTTACACAGCAAACAGTTTACCAACTGAGCTCTTTCCCCAGCACCTTCAGAGGGTCCCTTTATAGCCAACTTTATAGCCAAAGATAGAAAGACACAGCCCCCTAAGAACATTCAGGGGCCTGGGAAAATGTTTCAGTGGGTAAGAGCCCTGGCTCTGCAATCATAAAGACCTGAGCTCTAATCCTTAACACTCACACCAAGAAGGAGAACATAGCAAATGAAGTCATGGAGACTGAGGTAGCATATATAGGGCCAGCATGGGTCTGTACCAGGTCCTCTGTGTGTAGCATAGTTTCCACTGTAGTGTTTTTATGGGATTCCTGGGTATGCCAACAATTGGGTTTCTGATCTTGTGCCTTCTCTTGGGCTCTTTTCCTTCTGTTGCCAATTCTGATATTATTTTTGTTTTTCTTACATAATTTATTATCACTTAGAAACCCATTTGTTTTATTTTTTAAAAAATTTAAATTTATTCTATTATTCTATATTTTTCACATCATGTATCTTGATTTCCAGTCCCTTCCCATCTGTCCTGCACCCTGGCACCCCTACCCAATAAAGCAAAACTCAAGAGAAAAAGAGGAAGAAAATAAAATGAGAAAAGTAAAAAAGGGGAAGCTGCAATGTGACCCAACAAGTCACGCAGTATACCCCTTGATCCATACATCTCTACTTGTAAGCGTTCATTGCAAAGAAGGAGCCATTGGTCTGGTTCAAGGCCCTTGGTCTCCACTATATGTTCGATGCTGGGCCTACACTAGGACTCTTGGACATTACGTTGGTATCCTTGTTGTGGAGATCCTGTAGCTTTGGATCTGTGGGTCAGGGTCCTTCACGTATTCCAGCAAATCATAGTTGGAGCAGGCCAAGTCTGGACCTGGGCATCTGTAGGGTTGGTCCACCAGATGGGAAATGGGGATAGCTCTCCCATGGTCAGAGTTTCAGAACTGACTCTCTCACACCTGTGCCAACAGTATTGGCTCTATTGTGCTACCCTAGCAAGGTACAAGAACTGCTCTCCTCAGTGTTGCAGCTGGTGGGGGTCAGGGACAGCTCTCCCTCTCTTATGACCACAAGGCCAGCTCTCCCACCTGCCCCAGGCATTGATGAGCAGAGAGGGGTTGAGGAGGACAGCCCTCCCCAACCCATGGTGCCACAAGGCAAGAATAAATGTGCATAAATTGTATTAATATACGAAATGTCTTGAACATAAGTAAAAGTATACATACATAGAATATGGTAAGAATAATGTGCATAAAACATAAGTGGAAAGATTTCACATATAAACTGAATTTTACATAGCTTACCACAAATAAGAATATATAACAATGTAAGCTGTAAAATACTATCATCTCACTCTTACTCAAATTCACAAGAAAATAGGCTAATCTACCTTATATCCCTTCTAAACCATACCTTTCCCAACCATACCCTATTCCTATCTAAAAGATAGACCCGAGTGTAAGCATCACCTTCCATACCCAACCCTAAATAACTAAAACCAACCCAAAGAAGATGACTATTATCCCCAAATTCCAAGGGTAGGGAAAGGGGGTGTCACTGTCTTAAGGTTAGTTCCTACTGAAATGGGACGATGATTGCTCCATGGGATCCTGTAGGAAGAAAATTTTTAGCAACCAAATTTCTTAACAGAACTGGCTGTGACATATGTAGGTAGTCACTGTGTGGCAGAAGATGGTTGGCTGTAGTTCTATTTGAAACTCTGGCCAGGGTATAATAAGAAGGTGCACCATTACAGCTAGCTAGTCATTGCATCAGTCAGTTTTTCACTTTTTCCAACTACAAATGATTCCATGTTTTTAATATTCTCATCCTTAGATATTATCTGAATGGCATGCCTTCTAGAAACAGTGTTCTATCTGCCAGCTTGCCATTATCCTCAGACATGGAACAGATTCTATCTGCTAGTCTTTCTATCTGATGTTCCAGTTTTTTAAACTTATTAGTAGCTTCCTCCGACCAGAAACGAGCTCTTTCTGCTAGCATGTTAATGCATTGCATTGTTTCTGTTCTGGTTATTGAGGTATCAGACATGGAACAAATTCTGTTTTTTACTTGGTCATTTTTATGTTTCACGGTTTGTATTCTACCTGTCAGCTTTCCAGTGCCATCTTCAATATTCTGAAACTTTTTTTCTAAGCATTCTATGTTTTGAATTCTATCTTTTTCAATGTTTCGAGTCCTTGTTACTAAGTCTCCTATGGTTTGTACAAGTTCCTTATTGTTTGCTGTAATCTCAAACCATTTCTTTAAGAATATCATGTTAATGATGAAACCCATTGCTATTACAAAATAAAAGTACATATTGGTCCAGTCATAATTTTCTTCTGCTAAAATTCCTTCTATATATGAAGTAAAATAATTCCTAAAGTCCTGCATTGTAAAATTATCTGCCAGATCTCAGATATTATATCAGCTTAAATTGCAAAGGATGTTACAATTACCTTAGGTGTAATTCTGCTGTCCTGGAACTTTGATGCTTTTAGTTGTAGATCTCAGCTTGTGGTAGTTACGCCTGGAGGTGTACCACCAAATAGTGTCCGAAAGTGTACCGCCAAATAGAGTCTGGCAGCAGACGATCCTTCTGATCCCGGTCCCTGTAGAATAGCTCTTAACAAACTATGGCAAGCTAAATTTTGTTAGACTAATGAGTAAAAGGAGTCTTGTGGAATTGCTGGGACTGCAGGGCTAACGGTGGGAAACGTGCAAGCAGGGCGGGCGCCAAGCACCTCTGCACGAATGCAAAGTGGGGAAATGGGCAAAAAATGAGAAGTAGTGAGTGTGAATCTGGAGCTGGCTGGTTTTTTTTTTTTTTCTTTCAGTGAGCCCATGCTTCTCCATCGTCAGTTTAACCAGAGTTTCTAGAAGAAACAAGCCAACATCATTGTTTACTTATCTCCAAATTGTGAAAAGTTTTAGAGTCATTAAATTCCTTGTTCTCATCAAGTATTTCTAGGCATGGACTTTCATTGTTCTTCATTACTACCAGGAAGGCTCAGTAACTGTAGGTGTCAGTTAATTGCGAAACATATTCCAGATACTTCAAAAATTCACAGGCAGTGTGGTTCACATCATTAATCACAGCATTTTAGAGGCAGGGGCAGGCGGATCTCTGAGTTCAAAGTCAGCCTGGTCTACAAAGCCAGTTCCAGGATAGGAAGAGTCGTTACACTGTGTTCGCCTTGAAATCAGAGATCTGCTGGCCTCTGCCTCTTGAGTGCTGGGATTAAAGGTGTGTGCCACCACTGCCCAGCCACTTTATTTCTTTTTTAACCAAATGTCCTTTTTATTTTTTCTCCTAAGCCTAACACACTGTAAAAAAACTTAGGTTTTACTTCATCTGAATCTGTCTTTACTGTATATCTCTACATTTTCTTTCTAGCCACAAGTCTTGTGTCTGCTAAACAGCATTGCTAAAATTAAAGTGGCAGCTGTTTTAGCCACCGTCTTTCCAAGATGGGGGTGGGAGGGAGGATTCGTTGGGGAGAGGG